AAAATTGATTTAGATAAATACAAAAATGCATTGATCATCATGGAGAATACTTCGTAAAATAATAAAACCATTTCCACTGGTTAACTATTGTTTTCATTGTAATGAAAACAGTCAAACTTCCATAATTTGAAGTAACATTTTGGAAAGAAAAAGTCTCAACTTATGGAGACTTCGAGTAAAAGAATTTTTTGTGATTATATGTAATTTTCTCTCTAAATCCTGTTGCATTGTATTTAGTTTTAGTTATAGAAAATTCGAGTTATAGAAATTCGAGTTATGGAAGTTTGACTGTACTTAATATTTCTTTTTAACTATGAGATCTGGCTATATCACATTGAGGAATTATTTTAAAACACAGAAAAATGAAAAAGCGGCATTTATTATCAATCAATAGCCATACTTGCAGTCACATTAATGTTTAAGCTACGAGGGCGGTTTGATAAGTCAGTGACTTTTTGAATTTCCGGCGCAGTTACTCCAAATGCAACAGTGCTGTAATCTACCAGTTGGCAACTTTATAATTTTGAGTGAGCTACGTCGTTCAGTTGGTGTTTGATAGCCGTTCAAACCAGACAACCTCGTGAATTTTTACGAAAATGGAAGAAAGTGATGTCGTGTGATGATTAAGTATTACAATTCCAAATCCACGAATTGTGATAAAAACTGCTACTCCATCCAGCATATTCTCCAGATTTAGCCCTCTGCGATTATTTTCTGTTTCCAAACGTAAAGAAATGGATGGTCGGCAAGAGATTTGAGTCGAATGAAGAAGTCATTATCGAAACAAACGCGTATTTTGAGAGCTTTGAGAAAACCTATTACTTGAAGGGAATAAGAAAATTAGAAAAACGCTGGACTAAATGTATCGAGCAAAAAGATGATTATGTAGAAAAATAAAATGTTTATTTGCCTAAAAAAATTTGTTTTATTCAAAAAGTCACTGACTTATCAAACCGCTCTCGTATAACTAACTTCCTTTCAAAAACAACGAATTTCTGGCTAAAGTCATACTGGTAAAATCATTTGCTGTAAAGTTAATTGTATTAAATTTGAATATAAATCTCAAATTTGTTAGTAGTAAGATTTGAATCTATAAAAATCATATTGTTATATGATTTTTGTTAAAAACCTCTACTCCATTAATAATAAACGTTCGAAGCGACATTCTAATGGCTTTGGTCGGTCTTGGCCAGTCCCTTATATTCATTTATATATGTTGCGTAATATTTTGAAAGTAAGCTGAAGTCTGAATATCGTAAAGCAGTTTAGTCGAACTGCTAAATTAGTTAAAGCACTAAAACTTTAGTTAATACAAGTCAGTACTGCCTCATGCTTTTTGTTTGGCCCGAAAACAATATAAACAATATAAAAATGTTTGCAATAATAACACAAAAACTTAGTACAAATTCTCCTCTCCCAAATTCAAAAAAAAAAAAAATAAAAAAAAAGAAAAAGGAAAAAAAATAAAAAAATGAAAATGAAATGAAATACTTTACAAAACAGTTTCACAATAATTTATCGCATGTATGCCAGGGTCATGTTGATTATTAGCTATTTTAAATGCTGCAATTGCTACTGCAAAGGTGGCTGCTTCGTTCAACAACTAAACCAACTGAAAATTTGAAAAGTGCAACAATTGCAACAATTGCAGAAATAGCAAAGTGCAACGAAACCATTTGGTTTCCGTTTTGGTTTTCTTTTTTACAAAAACAAAAACAAAAAAAATGTTGCCAACTTTAGCGTGACTGACTGTAAAAACAAACAGTAGAAAAAAATGCACAACCTAAAAAGTGTATGACATTTACAAATAGCATCGCTAAGAGATACACGCCACTTTACTGTGTGAAGATACAGTAAGCAAAGTGTCAAAACGGTGTCAAACTCCAACACTAACTAAGCAAAAATATCGGTTTTCTTCTGGTGACAATGCAATAATTTGACATGCAAAGATTCTAAATGCAAACAACAAGAATTTGAATGTAAGAATTTTGCATACGAGTGAATGCAAGTAGATTTACATGCAGTTGCATGTGCTTCCAACATGAATGTCCATTGCATGTGTGCCAAGTATTGCAATGATTCAGACACAAAAATAAAAAAACAAATAAAAAATATTTGACAAAAAACATACAAAAACTGCATCTCATTATCAACACACAATTCACTACAATTGCACTCTCCTCAAAGAGCAGTTGAAGATACATTATCTTAATTTGTCAAACGTTGGCAAAATCCGTTTAGACCACTTGCCCGTTTGTGTTGCAGCAAATGTTGCATGCATAATGGGAATTGCATCTGCAATTCGGCACGACTGTTTTTGTTAGTTTTAAGCATTTTTTTTTGGTTTTATGTTGTTTTATGGAATACACAATTAGCATTTAGTTAAAATTTTAAGATTACTAAGTGGCCATGCATCAGCACTCTTGACTTTTTGTTGGTTGTAACGTTGGCATAATGACAATCATTAATCACAGTTTGTATGCAGCTACCATCTTTCTGCTCTGTTTTGTTTTGATTTGGGTTCATTTTGTAGATTACTGAAAGGCAGCACTTCAAATAGTTTTGTAAAATGTAACTAAAAGGTATATATGAATTGAGATTTCTAGCTATTTGCTAAAGGCTAAGTATGTTCAGCAAACAGTCAAGGTCATGCTAGAGTTTGGAGTCGATCAATATACCTTAAGCTCTTGCCTCCAAATCTTAAAGGTACTTAAAGTACCTAAGCGATACTTAAGTATCGAAAAGGCGTTTCAATAATGAAACAATTTGTACTTAAGTATCTAAAAGCCATTAATTATTATTGCATAAAATTTTAATATTTAATGCCACAAAAGCGGTTGCAAATTATATTAATTCAGTTGAAATTAATTTGTAATTAATATAAATTTCAAATCTAAACGGAAATAAAAAAAAAATAAAATGCTGAAAGTTATGAAAAATCTCTTGTTTGTACACAAAAAGTTTGAAATTAAAAATAATAATGAAAAACACTGAACGCAAATATAGCATTTATATATACTATATTATTACAATAATATTCAATAAGAACATTGGCTTCACAAATAACAAATACAACACGTAAAAGATTAGATGTGCTCACATTGAAACTTAATACATCCCCCAAAGATATATTAAAAATGGATAATTTAATAGTCTTTTTTCACGTTTTAACTTTTCTTTGGACATGAAATCCATTACGATAAAACTCATGCTTTTCAACTCTATCTTTTTGCTCCATACCACAACATAGACAAAATGTCATAATTATATTAATCACAATGAAATATAATTACTTAAACTAAAATCAAAAAAAAAGAGTAACAGAAACAGTGTCCTAAAAACAAACATTTGAAGAAATAGCCGGATTTTTTTATGACTTCTATTTCAATCCCATAATTAACACTGCAAACACCACAAATAGTATTAATAACAATTTAAATGTTTTAAATACACTTAATACCAATAAAATGTTTAATGACGTAAATGAGCAAAAGAGAGAGAGAGTGAGAATAGGGTGGTAATACTAATAGGGCAAATAAGTAATATACTTATCCTAATAATAGTACATATCGTAAACTTTTCGAATAGCCAAGCTAACATTAAATTTCCATAACAATTAGACAATACCGGGCTTCTCTTAACCAGCTAGCTAGGTGTGTCATTTTTCAGCTCACATAGGAATCTGGACACAAGACCATATCAGGCAACTGTAGGGCTGAAGAGCGTGCCAAGGAAAACACTTTGTTTCCTAAAATTCATTTTTTCAGATATTGGTGTTCTACCTGCAATGGCTAAACTGACAATCAAACATAAATATCTAAGCATAGCTGAACAAAATTGAACAGATGAACCCTGCAATCACATCTCCAGATTAACCTGACCCAAATTGGCCAAAAAAGGTAATAATCCGTTGCTTTAACTAAGACATATGCTGTTAAGCACAACGTTATCGGTACTGACGGGTGGCTGCATACCAGGAAGACGTGCTATGCAACTGGGTCTACACTATAACTTTTGTCATGGTTGTGGCTCTAAATATGAGGATGAGGAGGACACTATACGCTACCTCTTGTATCAGTGTTTATATCTTCTAATAGAAGATCTAAAATTTTCGAGGTCTCTTTTCTTACCAACCTCACTAAGCTGTCATTAAAAAAATTGGGAACTTGCTTAAGTTTATAGAATTGTTAGAGTAGTGCATAGGGAAGGTCATACCTTTCGACTTTGCTCGTATGAACAACGATAATCTGTAGTCCTACAATAGGTCATTATTTAAACTCAAGTCAGCTTTGTACACAAGGTCGCCACTCCAATCTAACCTTATAGATAATTTTAATAGAACTTCACAAATTTAAGGAAATATGCATCACCCACAAAATGCATAATTATTGTTAAACTTATATAAACTTAAAATATTTAAATTTAGAGCTCCACAGGTAGAAACTTACTAGTTTCTTAATAGTTCGTAAAACACGAACGTAATAGTAGCATTCTACACCACCAGTGAAATCTTAAAGCAGGATATCATCAGTCCAGTAGTACCACATGAAATAAAATAAAAATAAAAAATCAATCATCCTAACCCATTAGCTTATGTTAACCCATTAACCCTAACCCATTAGGATGTTAAAATTCGTTTTTAAGATTAGTTAAAAAAAGCGTTTCAGCTAAAAATTAAATTTTTTTTAAATCTATATGATATAATATTATAGTTCAAGCAATATAATTACTAATACGCTATTTATTTTTTTTTTTTATTATTAAAAAAATTTTAGCTTTGACTATCTCTTCACATTTTTGTATAGGAACATTACTGTTATTATTCTACACTAAAAATTAACTAATTAAAAACGTTCTCAATAATTAATTAATTTTCAGACAAATTAGTATATATTACATATATAATTATTTTTGAACATTCAATTAATATTAATGTTATATTAGAAATAAAAGTTCAAATTTAATAGTATAAGTAACTTAACAATGATTTTTTCTTACAGTAACTTGCTCCTCATTACTACTTCAATCAATTAAATAATAGCCACATTTTAAATGCAATCCAACGATACCGCGAAACCTACAAACCATTGAGTAAGGCACGTAATGTCGGTAAAAAACAAGCCACCGGTATTGGCAAGCACCGCAGATAAAATTGATTACACTTCTGAAGCGGCTAAAGTAAAACGCACCCGCGAGCAAGCCTATTTCAATTCATATAACTTTGATGCGATTGAAGTGCTACCATATGATGATGATAGTGGAGCAGCTCAGTCTAATGTAAGAGGTAATCAGGAACAGTCTAAAAAATCGCTTCCAAGATATAGTCAAGCCCCAGCAAAACATCAACCTACTCAGCCACTTAAGTTCAATACTAAAAATAAACGCTTCTTCCAAAACGTATCACACTATGCTGCCAGTGGTAGTAGTGAGAACAGCAGTCATTCCAGCAGTAATAGTGGGGATAGTTTTTATTCCGATGCACATCAGGTATACTTGCAGCGACTTGGTGCATTCTTTGGTACCTCACACAGTACAATTAAATTGGATAATTCTACTGAAAAGAAAGCTAATGTAGCTAGTAACTGTAATATTGTTGCGGTAACTGATGCTGATGTCAATAGTCACGCAACTCAAGACCATGAAGTGGTTCAAAGTGATGTGGAAAACAATAAAACAGCTGATAATGGAAATTTTTTACTACCAAGAGCAATGCTGAAATATCAGAAGTAAGTTAAACTATATATATTAATTTGTTTGCTATGAAAAAGAAATTTTTAAATATTTTTTAATTAACTAAAGTAGAACAATCAGACATAAACTATCCTTTTCTCGGCACTTCTTTATTCAATTCCGTTATCATATATATATCACAGGAATTATCAATTGACAATCAAGCCTTATTTAGTTTTATTATTACACTAACTAAATTAAAGCTCAGGACTTTCTATGGATAACTTATAATTTTAATTTAATTTTAATTTCTTATATATACATTATCCATTACATTGACGATTGACTTATGCAGTAATCGCGAAGATTTTGAGGTCCTATTGTAGATACGAACAAAAGTTTTTTGAATTCCAGCAAAAATGCCGTTCTTATGCGTATTAGAATACTAATGAGCCACTCTGCTACTATAGCGATGCTTTAACATTGGTGGACTCTAACAAATGGACTTAACAAAAGTTACCAAAACGTCATAGAGATAGAATTTATTCAACACATTTTTAGTGTGTTTATCCAAAAATATACATGAATCAATTTCTATATTTAGGAGATTACTTCTTCTTTATATGGCAGATATAGACTTATCGAAGCAGAAGAGGTAGAATTTATAAAAACCTTTCAGTATATTCATTCATTAATATAGACGAAGTGATTTCTATGTTTAGAAGATTATTTCTTATTTTTCCTGACAGTTATAAAGAAGGAGACTTATCGAAACTCCTTAACTTCTGGCATATCAAGGGGTTTAATTAGGATAATACACGAAGTTATAATAAAAATAATGGCTAACCTAGCAAATATCCCTCTACTAAAAGTGCGTCACAATGCGCAATACAAGTTTTCCAACTAAGTAAAAAACTCAATAATTGTTTTAACACGATAGGTGTCTTTAACCTAGCCTTCATTTTAGCCTTTCCTTTTATAGGTTATGAATTATAAATTGATTTAATAAAAAATATGTATTGTAATATTTTTATATACTAAAGAACAATGCTGCATTGGGATGTGTTTGGCATGTGCTATTTTTATTATTTCTAAAATCAAATATAATCCACACGAGTCTATTTTACTGATGTCATAAAATTCTAAATTAATTAGGTTTGTTTATAGGTTATGTATTGACGTAATCAATATTGTAGCTAATGAACTAACATGGATTTTAATGTTATTGATTCCAGTTCTGTTAACATAATCAAGCTCTTTTGATAAATAAAATACAATATGTTTAGTTGAAGTTGTTTATATGTTTATATACAAGAACAAGAACTGATTATAATAAATAATGCCTGTAATAAAACAATAAATGTTATCTTTGTTCATGATTTCAGCATAAATAAAGTCAATTAAGTGTTTTAATTTGTTTAAAACTATGAGAAATATATGTAAAACTTTCTCAACTGGAATCTTCTAAGTTCTTATAGGATTATATTTAGTATATGATTTTGTAATTAAATTTCTATTAATTTTTTTAATAGTCGCCCGTGCGACTAGTGGAGTAATATTAGCATGACTTTCTAAGCATTAAAATCATGCAAAAAATAATGCCTCTACGAAAAGAATAGTATTGAAATTTAACAATTAAAAATATAATTAATTAATTAATTCAATTATTCTACAGCTGGATTATGATTTCGTTCTAATATAAACACACCAAGTAAAATTGTTAATAAAAACTTTCATAGCAAAAAGTAACAAAACTCCAGAAAAATATACCAACAAAAAAGTCAAGTACGGCTTTGGATCAGTTGATTAAGGTGCGCTGATTCTGAGCTTCACATTAGGCAGGACCCAAGTTCGAATTCTGGTACTTGCAGTCTCAAAAATAATTATTTACGAATAATTAAATGCAAGAATTATTTCCAAGACCACTGATGTTGGGTACTCGAAACAGTACCTAATACTCGAAACAGCTGTATAGTCAGCCAAAAATTCAATTAATTAAAATAATATAAAATAATAAAATTTTTGTTGCTGTAGTTCACTACTGTTCGAAAAAACCTCTTTATTTTTAATTTATTTGAATTTGTTTAATACTATTATAATTTACTATAATACTTCTTCAGCTTTGACCTTTTAGCTTCTTATGATACTTTATTAAGTATGCGATTTCCTAACTTAATTTTTACTTTTTCATTGCGCATTCTGATAGATACCTTGTAATACTTAAAACATAATAAAATAAAAATGAAAAACTTTAGCATATACCTAAATTATTACGTTAATGTATTTTTTTTTTTTCATTATTTAAGAATTTAAATTTTCCATATCTGCAGCAATTGCATAACTTTATCACATTAAAGCATAAAATACATTCATTAAATTCCATGCATGCCAGCACATACCTAGGTCATTAAATATGCTCTTATAAATAAACCATGACCATACTCAATAATCCATAGTACAGAAAAGGTGCCCAATACTGGAAACAAAACAACCAAAACAATTTTTTAGTTGGCCTTGCATTCCATTCTGAGGATTTTGAATGTCATGTTGTGAACAAATTGTATGCAAAAACCATCGAGCATGTGAACTTGCGTTTTGCCAAAAAAATAAAGTTAAGAGCCAATGTCCAAAAAACAATAAAATAAATTACAGTTGAGCAAAGTGCAAATTAAACCAAATGAATTCATACTTAATAGTAAGACAATAATTGAAGCCAAGCTTCAATGCAAGTGTATGATGTATATATTTTCTGACCATAAGAGTTATTGCGCATCATGACTTGCTCATCTTAACATATTTCCAGCAGCCGAAATCATTGAAAATACAAAGCTTAATTATTCTACCGTTTTATGCTAGCCACTAGTCACTAGCCACTAGCCACTAGCAACTCTCCACTAACCACTAGCTACTAGTCATTAATACATATGCCTCCAACCAACAAAGCAATTCAGCATCCCATATGCTGAATGCCATAAAATCCAAACTCAACAGCAAATAATGATACGTCAAGCAACGGAATTTTTTCCTCTTTAGAAATTTATTGGCCGCGATAAAGAATCTTAGCTGCCAAACTCACAGCTTCTTCAATTAAAAAAACATAATTGCTAATTGTGCTGCAGGTGTAGTGTATGATGAACAGATACTTTTTTTTGTGTGTGGCAACACTAACACTGCCTGCAACCGGTATTCATGCTCGAACGCAAAGTTGCAAATAAGGTGAAGGTTGCGTATGGGCGCCAGAGTGGCATGCGCTTGTACCGCTTTTCAAGATGCAACTTGAACTTCGATTCAACACGCAGATATGCAATTCAAAACGCTACCTCAGTAACCGCCAACCAGAAGAACCATAAAAATGCATATCAATAACAAAAACTGCCAACTTCATAGGTGCACTACATCCAAACCAACAAAAAATAATAACAAATAACGTGAATGAGGTATCTGTATCTGTGTTTGCAAGCTGAGTGCTGAGTGCTGAGTGCGTGAAGCTTAGAAAAATGCATAAATGTGATGCGTCCGAATAGTAAGCGTCAATATGTTTCGATAATCAATTAGTAATTTATATCTCACTTCAGTTGAAATACTCTTAATTGTAATATTATATGCAAATTATATACATTTAAATTTTTTTATTTGCTAATTGACTTTGGTTAGTTGCCATTTTTATGGTATTTTCCTTGTGCCATTGTCAATGCACTACGTGATTTGCGTATTCTTAATTTAAGAAATGAATAAAGCAAATAAAGGTTATAAATAAAAATTTAATTTATGTTCGTGTTTGTTTTTTTTATTATTATTTATATAGTATGAAATTATGTTTTGTTTATTATTTAATAGCAAACATCTTCAAATGACAAACCACTAATGACTAGCAAATAAATATCTTCAACCTAACCAAGCTTCTTAGGCCATTATGAAATATTTTTGCAAATAAATACTAACAGTTGAATAAGTCATGCTTTGGCCTCTTCAATATGTCTGTTTGGATTATTTATAAATTAACTTTATAAATGTTTAAGAACTATTCATTTGTATGGAAAAACGTTTAAACCTTTCGAAAATAAAAAAATCAGTAATTGGTTTTTATATAATATAAATAGTTAGATTGTTGTAGCAACGTGTCTCCTTGAGTTCTTAATCTTAGAAACGAAAAAAATTACATAGCAGCGGGGATGAGATGAAAGAATCCATTTACAATTTTAACAAAAACTTCGTTATATCTATATAATTAGAAGATTTATTAACAGTAAAATTGAATGATAAATTCTAATGTGGACAATAAGTAAAATCTTGATCCGAGAAACGAAAAAAACTGCATGAATGCGGTGGCGAGATTTATAATCTTAACCAGGATATAAACTTTGCTACACCCATTACCAATATTTTTTTAAAATGAAATTTAAAATATCAATGTGGAAAATATATGAATTTTAATCGGAGAAACGAAAAAAATTATGTGGTAGCGAAGATAAGATGATGGGTTCCATTTACAATCTCAGCCAAGATACAAGATCTTAAAGAAAATTCTGTCTAAACACTATGTGCAGTTAAAAAATTTTGATGTTTTAAAGACGGTTTAATAAGATAGCGTAAGTTGGAAGTAAGTACCGGGATATATATATATAAATACCTTTAACTGTTAGGGCAAGCGTAGGATCGCAAATATTTACGGGGATAAAAAATCTTCAAGAAAACTCACTCCGAAAAAGGACATACTCAAATATACACGATTCTATTTTTATGTGTACGCTTTTTGAGAACTGATTATAGTGAAGGCAGGTAATTCAAATTATTCTAAAACCTTCGCATATCTATGTCAATATAGCTTAGTTGTCGAGCGTTTTTTTGTTTCTCGGATAAAGGAATCAACTTCGGTGGTAAAAGCACGTTTGTATGAAATATCCTGTTATATCTGTGGCATCAAAGCACGTTTGAATGAAATATCCTATTATATCTGTAGCATACTTCGATTTTAATAATTATTATATGACAAGTATCTTCTTGTCATACTAATTGACACTATGATATTCAGCATTCAGTATGCATGTTGTCAATT